AAATTGCTAAATTGATGCCGGGCACGGGGGTACACGCCTATAATCCCAGCACTTGGGAGGCTGAGGCAGGAGGATCCTTGCGAGTTTGAGGCCAGCCTGAAATGCATAGCAAGACCCTATCTCAAAAAAAAAAAAAGACCAAAAATAAATAAATAAATAAAAATAAATTGCTTAGCTGCCCAGGCTGAGCTCTTGAACTTGCAATCCTCCTGCCTCAGCCTCCCAGAGTGTTGGGATCCCAAGCCTGCACCATGACACCCAGCTGATTATTTTTCAGCGATTACTTTGATATTTAGAAGACAAGACTGAGGCTTCTCGTTTGTTCTGCAGTCAATGGTGAAAGGACCCAGGCCAGGCCTTCAAGAAGCTTCCAGTCTCTATGAGACGCTGGTAGCAATGCCACGGTTTCTCCTCTCTGGCACCTGTTTGAAGAACTAGAAGGAAAGAGAAACCAGTGCAGTACAGGAGGGTTGGGCTCAGGGTTGAATAGACGTCTATTGTGAAAGTGTATTGTGCACCAGAGAATAGCGCTTTTTGTGAAGAGAGATAAAGAGGGTGTAGGGTGGGAACAGGAGGGGGAGGAGCTGGCCGGGGGCAGATCCCTGAGAGGCCTGGAAGCGGCGACCCGGGCAGTGCCACCCAAGGTCCCTGCAGGAAGTCCTCCCCAGCCCGGCCTGCGCCTCAGTGTCCCGGGCCAGCTGGTACCTGGCACGGCGCTCATAAACGTTTATTGTACTCGAGCGCAGACGCTGGCTAGCAGGGAACATCAGGGATCACTCTCCTGAGTTTCCTCTAAGGCATTAATTAAACAGTCTGCAGAAGAAAGGCTCCATTGTGAAGCCTCAGGACAGCAGGACAGGAGCGGAATTTACAGTCTCCACCACCAAGGCGGCAGTGGGGGGTGCCCACAAGGACCTGGATTCAAGTTCCGAGGTGGCAGCGGCTGGAGTCCCAGGCGCTCTTGGCTGTGGCAGCTGCCCAGCTGTGCAACCTTGACCGAATTCCATCCCTGAATCTGATGCACTTAAAGAGACCTGTGGGGCCTGCTGGGATGAGATCCCGCCCAGGCTGCTGCTCCGTGGGCGAGGAGGAGAACCTGCAGGAGGAAGACTGCTGCTGTAGGGCTTGGATCTCTCTGTGCCCTCAGCACCAGCTTCCAGAGGGGCCAAAGGGGGTGTGGTCCCCATGGGCTTTGCTGTGCTGAACTTGCTGTTTGGTCCCCTCTTTGTCTTTACTCTTCATTCAATCAGCAAACACCTACTGTGTGCCCACAATGTGCTGGGCATCCCCAAGGGTCTCCAGGGGACCCTAGGGTGACAGATATGATGAATTCCAAGGGATGATTGAAAAAATCCAGTTGATGTTTTCATTTATTTGTTTTTTCTTTTCTTTTCTTTTTTTTTGCGGTACCAGAGATCGTACTCATGACCTTGCACCTGCCAGGCAGGCGCTTATGCCACTGAGCTATATCCCCAGCCCCTGATGTTTTTATTTATTTATTTATTTTTGTCTTTTTGAGACAGCATCTCGTTATGCCGTTCAGGCTGGCCTGGAGCTCACTTTGTAGCCCAGGCTGGTCTCGAACTTGCAATGATTCTCTTGCCTCAGCCTCCCGAGTGCTGGAATTACAGGTGTGCGCCACCACACCCAGCTAAGAGGTGATGTTTAAATCCACTCCTCCATCCCAGTCTCCCTATAGTTCAGGCTGGCCTCAAAACTATATGGATCCTCCTGTCTCAGCCTTCTGAGTGCTAGGATTATAGGCAAGTGCCACCATGCCTGGCTATACACAGTCTTGAAGGAAAGGTGAGAAACTGCTTGGTAAAGCAAGAGGAAGAGGCCACTGAACAGGGAACGGCTTCGTAAATAAGTTACTTAATCTTCTTGAGCCTCAGTTTCCTGCTGTGAGGATCCTGCCTCTCTCACTGAATGAGGTAAGATATGCAAAGTGCCCGGCCCAGTGCCCAGCCTGTGGTAGGTACCGAAAAAGCCAGTTCTCTGTCTCTTTACTGACAAAATCATTTCCTCTTTGCAGCTCACTTCCTGTTCTCATTTTGCTCTTCTCTCCAGTTCCTCTAGAAGCGTTGGATGTTGGTTTAGGCCCTTTAGTTACCCAGATGATTTTCCAGAATTGGCAAGATAATTATAAACATGGGTCATATTTTCCACCGTAAAGAAAATCCCAATAAATTTGAAAATTACAGATGTCATCAAGGCTATAGATCCTGTTTGCAAAATGCTGAAACTAGGAATTAATATTAGGAATCAGCTACTGAAAGTTCTCCAAACAGCTTTTGAATAAAAGAGGAAACAAGAATAACGTGTTAATTTAGGCAGGGAGCAGTAGCACTGCCCTGTAAGCCCAGATCTCTGGGAGGCTGAAGCAGGAGGATTTTAAATTCTGGCCTAGCCTGGGGAGTTTAGTGACTTAGGGAGAACCTATCTCAAAAAAAGAATGAAAGGCAGGGACGGAAGAAAGAAGGAAAGAAAGAAGGCTGGGCAGTTTGAGAATATAGCTCAGTATAAAGCCTCTGAGTTCAATTCTCAGTCCCTCTCCCAGTGTTAACTTAGAAAATCTATGAAAACTGGGTGTAGTGGCTCATGCCTGTAATCCCAGCACTGGGAAGCTGAGGCAGGAGGATTACAGCAAATTTGAGGCCAGCTTGGGCTACATAGTTCAAGGCCAGCCTGAACGACACTGTGAGACCCTGTCTCAAAACATCAACAATAAAAATCATTTACAACATAATCTAGAAATATTTATGTAAATCTCTAAAGATGAAGAAGAAATAAAAAGAATAAATTAGAAAATAGAACAACAGAATTAACATGTATGTCCTTGAGCTGGTTCTTTTGTAAAAACAAGATCTGAATATTACAATGAGGCCAGGCCTGGTGGTGCACGCCTGTAATCCCTGCACTTGGGAGGCTGAAGCAGGAGGATCATTGTGAGTTTGAGACCAGCCTGGGCTACAAAGTGAGCTCAAGGCTAGCCTGAACTGCATAGTGAGACCCTGTCTCAAAAAGACAAAAAAAAAAAAACAAACCAAAAACCAAAAAACCCAAAAAGGAACAGCTCCTGAGAGAAAGGAGGGGTCCCAAATGGGTTGCCAACATGCCCACCTCTCAAAGGAAGTTTTATAGAGCAAAACCACGAGGCGGGTACAACGTGAGTCAAAACTGTTCAACCAGTAAGACTGCAAGTGTAGTCGCTTAGGTGATATTGATCCAGTGGTAGCCAGGGCCCATGAGTGACACCGTTAATCTTGGTGGATAAACTGTAGTCTTAGCCTTGTCTTTAGTCTTGGTCTTAGTGGGTGGGAGAGGTTGGCCCACCCCTAATGAGATAACAAGAAATCTCTAAAGAGTGAACCAATAATCCCAAACCTCCGTTCGCCCCTCAGGGAAGTATGGAAAACTATTGTGACTTTAGTCTTCAGAGGCGCCTCCAGCCAGGCCTGATGCATTCTCATCCCTGCACTGACTCCCTCCAGGGCCAGGCCGTGTCTGACTGCTGTATTTCTGCCTAATTTAGCTATCTATAATACTAAGACTAAAAACAATACTGAGACTATAGGTTATTGACCAAGGCGAATGACGTCACCCATGCGCCCCTGCTCCTACTGGATCAATATTAGCTAAGCAGCTATCCTTGGAATCATATTGGTTGATTATAGTTTTGACACATGTTATACCCCCTTGGTGATTTTTTTCTTTCTTTTTTTTTTTGTCTTTTTGAGGCAGGGTCTCTATGCAGTTCAGGCTGACCTTGAGCTCACTTTGTAGCCCAGGCTGGTCTCCAACTCACAACGATCCTCCTGCCTCAGCCTCCCGAGTGCTGGGATTACAGGTGTGCGCCACTGCGCCTGGCTTGGAAGATTGTTTTATCCCTTACTTTTTGAGACAGGTTCTTGTTAAACTGCCAAATTTCCCATGCTGGGCTTGAATTTATGATCCTACTACCTCAGCCTCCCAGAGTACTGGGATGATAGGCATGTGACAAAACTGTGAAGCAGTTCTTGAAGTCCTCTTAAGTGTCTGTCATGGCATGGGTTTTTGCCAAGGGGAAACAATATAATACAGGACACATATTTTATAAGATTATTTATAATAGTCACCCAAAGACTCATACACAAAGAGTGCAGGAAATCTGTCCACACACTAAAGACAGAAGAATCCAGCTGAGAGCCTGGAACCCATGGTAATGTCCTGCATGAGTCCAGCTGAAGACCTAGAGCTCATAACAATGCCTTGCACAAGTCCAACTGGAGGCCTAGAGCCCGTGACAATGTCCCATCAGGCCTGTTTCACGGATCTACGCTGGGAAGGCCCAAAGGTCAGTGGTGGAAGCTAGAAAATCTGTGCCAGCAGGATGAAGGATCTGTGCTAACAGGCCAAGGGATCTGAACTGGAGCCAGGAAGCAACCTCAACGAACCAGAGCTCCCCCAAAAGGTACTACAGCCCTCCTCAGCAACAGTGAGGTCCCGAGCTCCTCCAATGATGAGGAGAGCTGAGTTCCTATCAGGAAAGCCACTGTGACAAGATTCTTCAGGAGACAGCTGTGCACCATCTTCCCATCCAGAGCCAGCAAGCAATGCTCATCTAAGTGAGGACTAGAGCTCCCCCAAAGTGAACCTCAGCCATCCTCAGCGACAAACGAGGTCCTGAGCTCCTCCTGTGAGAGAACAGCCAAGTTCATCAGGAAAGCCAGCATGACGAGCTCCTCCAAGAGAACCAACAGCTGCTTACAGCTTCTAACAGCACCCAACAGCTCCTCAGCTCCCAAGAGCCCCTCTTCTTCTCCAGTTCTGCCTCTTATGCTGCCGGCAGCAATCCTCAGGTGGGCCTCCCACACCCAGCACCACAGCGGTTCAGTTCAGATGGGTGTTGTTACAAGTTGACCCCCAGCTGTCAATCCAGCACAGTAGTGTCTTTAGAAGAGATGATCAGAAATACAAAGACCAGCAGGTGCTGCACACCTGCTGGCCCTGCCCCCCATCCTGCCCCCTTACCATTTCTGCTGCAGCAGGGCATGTAGATGGAAGGAGGCGCCAAGATCTGGGGCCTGCAGACAAAAGTGGGTGCACGCTCTCCAGCTGGACACTGCCCGGCACCCGCGTGGGGGGACTGCACTGGAGCACAGGGGAAAGACTGACAGCCATTCTTGGGCCCAAGGACATGTCCGACGTGACTGGAGTAGGGGCACAGAGGGAAGAGCTGATGTAGACAACTGGACTGATTGATTGATCTGTCTATGTATTTTTATTTATTTATGTTTGAGATCTTGCTACATTGCCCAGACTGGCCTTGAACTCTTGGTGACAAGCAAGCCTCCTGCCTCAGCCTCCTGAATAGCTGGGCCCATAGGTGCACATCACCATGCCTGGCATGGGTTTTAAGGTTAGAGTGGAGACCCTTGGACACGGACACCTCATTTTCACCTGGGAGAGCCTCAGCATCTGCACACACAGGGCGAAGAGATAGCAGATACTGGGGCCCCGGGTCTGGATTCAGGCAGCCTGGGTTAACCCCGGGTCCAGCGGCTCAGTACTGGGAGGTCCTGCAACCCCTGAAAGCAGCTTTCACTTTCCCTCGTGAGGGAGCAGGACAGTGGCGGGGCTGCAGGAGCTCAGGCCCTGGAACGTGGCTGTTGCCCCTGTCCCACAGCAGTCACGGTCCCAAACAGAGGGCCCAGCCCCTGGCCCTCAGCACCACACGGCCCTGCCCTGGGCTACAAGCAATGGCAAGTGTTCCTAGGCCCCCTGTCTTGCCCCACTTGTCCACCCCTTGCCCACTCACACTGGCTGCGACTCCCTCTGGAGCTGACTGGGAGTTTACAGTCTCCCCCGCTCCAACGGCCTCCTGTGCTCCCTCTGCTCTGGACCCTCACACCCATTCTTTCTCTTTCTCTCTTTTTTTTCTTTTCTCTGAGACAAGGTCTCACTAGGTAGTCCAGCCCAGGCTCACCTTAACTTGTAGTGACTCTCCTGCCTCAGCCTCCTGTGCTGGGTTCACAGGTGTATACCACCGTGCCCTGCCCATACTCATTGTTTTAAAAGCACAGCTCCCACTGGCCTTTTGACTAAGATCAAGTGTAAAATGTCCTCTTTCTTTCTGAGAACCTGACAATGGCTTTCCACTGCCCTTTGGATAAATAAACATTAACAGCCAAAATGGTTGTGCAACCCTGGTGGCCAGGTCCTCACTAACGTGCTTCACCTGCTTTCATCTCATCCCACCCTGTCCACCCAGCCCGCTCAGCATCTGTGGAGGGGGCAGCGGTTATTTCACAGGGGAAGGGCGAGCAGCAGAGTACTTAGGAAAAGGCCTGGGCTTGGTATGTTCTTACTGCGCTTAGCGAGGAGTTGGAGAAGATGCTGTTTTGCAAACAGGGAAACAGCAAGGGGCAGTTTAAGAAGCTTGCCCAGGCAGCTGGGTGTGGTGATGCATTTTAATCTCAGCACTGTGGGAGGCTGAGGCAGGAGGATCACAAGTTGGAGCCCAATCTGGACAATTTATCAATGTAGTAAGACCTTGTCTCAAAATAGAAAATAAAAAAGAAGGGTGTGGGAATGTAAGTTAGCATGCAGGCCCTGGGTTCAGTCCCCAGCACCACAAGGGGAAGAAGAAAAAGGAAGAAGACTAGGAGAAGGAAGAGAAGGAAGAAGAGGAGGAGACAAGAGGAAGAAGGGGAGGAGGAAGAGGAAGAAAAGAAAAGAAAGCAAAACCAAAAAGAAGCCTAGCCTTTTCTACAGCAGGATTCACCCCAACCCCAGTTGAGTCCTTCAGCCTCCTCCAAATCCGCCCTTGCCAGCCTTGCGGCTCCTAGGAACACTGCGGTCCTCCCTGCTCCATGGGCCCTTGCTGCCTCCAGGAAGCCTTCCCTGAACCCCGGCCCAGGTGAAGTCTTTGGACTTTCTATGTAACCCCCTACGTTTTCTCTTTTTGAGACAGGGCCTCACTGTGTAGTTCAGTTGACCTTGAACTCACTATATAGCCCAGGCTGGCCTTAAACTTCCTGTGATCCTCCTGCCTCAGCCTCATGGATGGTGGGATGACAGGTGTGCGCCACCACAGGTGGGTAAGCCTGAAGATAATTTTGCACTAATACTGCATTTTTAATAATTGTGAGCATGAAATAAAGTTTCATGGTGTGGAGTTTTCCATCAGTGGCATCGTATCAGAGCTCAAAAAGCTTCGGATTATGAATGAGGTGTGGTGGTGGCATAGCCACTCTGGGAGACTGTGGCAGGAGGATCACAAATTCAAGCCCTGCCTTGGCAGTTTATCAACACTGTCTCAAAATTAAAAGCCAAAAAGACTAGGGATGTAGCTCAGTGGGAGGATAGCTGTGGGTTCAACGCTTAGTACCCCACCACCAAAAAAGGAAAAGTTTCGGAGTTTGGAATATCTTGAATTTTGGATTTTTTTGTTTTGTTTTGAGACAGGGTCTTGCTATGTACTTCAGGCTGGCCTTGAACCCACAGCGATCCTCCTGCCTCAGCCTCCTGAGTGCTGGGATAACAAGTGTGCACCACCACACACAGCTAGATTTTTGGATAAGCGATGCTCAACTTGTATGTGTAGTTGTACGCATGTTCCTACTGCAGTGCTGGGGATGAACTCAGGCCCCTCCCACTGAGCTATACCCCCAGCCCTTTTAAAAACTTTTTTTAGGGCTAGGGATATGGCTCAGTGGCACAAGCGCCTGCCTGGCAAGCACAAGGTCCTGAGTTCAATTCCTGGTACCAAAAAAAAAAAAAAAACTTTTTAAATTTTATTTTGAGACAGGATCTTAATAAGTCACTAAACTGCTCAGGCTGGCTCAGACTTGCCATCCTCCTGCCCTAGCCTCCCAAGGTGCCAGGATTACACGTGGGCACCACTACACACGGTTTAAGCAACTCTCTTTGATCTCAGCCTCCACCTGCACCTCTTTTGGCTCCTTCCACCCCACTGCTATGGGGCCGCTCCTGTTCTCCCGGCCTTCCTGGGAGTTAAAAACCTCCAGGGGTGGCAGGGATGCCGGAGTCGCACTCTGCTTGTCACCCAGCCGCGAGGACTGTTCCAGACTCCGGGACACCAAAAGAAAGGAACAGCATCCTGGGGGAGGGACACAGAGCAGACACAGCCCGGTCACCCGCCCCCTCGGGACGCCCAAAGGCCCTGGTCCCCAAGGAGCCTGGCCCAGCTCAGGCAGCTGCAGGCTTCTCTCCACCACGCGGCTTGGAACAAACAGGGCAGCTCTCACATCCAAGGAGAGTTCTCACTTTTGCCCCGGGTTGGAAGTTTTGCTGCTTTTCAAATATCCAGCATTTCTACCGTATTGCGGATGAAGTGAATTCTTTTTTTTTTTTTGTCTTTTTGAGACAGGGTCTCGCTATGCAGTTCAGGTTGGCCTTGAGCTCACTTTGTAGCCCAGGCTGGTCTTGAACTCACAACCATCCTCCTGCCTCAGCCTCCAAGTGCTGGGATTACAGGCGTGCGCCACCAGGCCCAGCTAGAGTCTTTTTTTTTTTTTTTTTTTTGTCTTTTTGAGACAGGGTTTCACTATGCAGTTCAGGCTAGCCTTGAACTCACAGCATTCTCCTGCCTCGGCCTCCCAAGCACTGGGATTACAGGCATGCGCTACCACACCCTGGCCCGAAGTGACATTTTTAAAGGCTAGGCTGGGAAACTTCAAGATTCTAAATTGATTTACAAATGAACACATGGAGCGTAGTCTGTAAGCCATTTGCCACATCTTATTTTATTTTTGAGATAAGGTCTCGCTATGTAGGCCAGGCTGGCCTTGAACTAATGGTGATCCTCAGCTTCCAGAGTGTGGAGATTACAGGCCATGTGCCACCACACCTGCCCATTTCCAACACCTCTGATTAATCCAAGTGCATTTTCCTCCCTTCCTCCCTCTCATATCCAACACCCACGCATCCTGCTTCTGAAGCTGCATCACAAGGGCTCCGGCACTGCCCCCTCCACCCTGCCCTGGACGCTGGTGTTGCTGACCCACCCAGGGGTGGGGGCCACCCAGGCCGTCAATCAGGCATCGCATTCCCTGTGACTCCTGAGCCAAGCCAAACAGGCCATCCACACCCGGTGGAACACAGTCTGCTGCGCAACTGCTGCTTTGGCCCAAGCGCTGGAAGGTTGGGTGCTCTGGCCTGCGGCATCTATACAGGTGGGAGAATCAACTTGGCAGAAACTGGGGCTTGGAGCCCTGCTTCTGCCCCTTGAGCAAGCTATACCTAAAGCCTGTTCTCCCCTGGGCTTTTCTGTTCTATGAGCCAATACATCTACTTTATGCTTTAACCAGTTGGGTTAGGTTTTCTGGCACTTGGCACCAAAAAAGCCCCACTGCATCTCTGTACTGTTTACCTCCTGCTGTGCCGGGGGCCTCAGGGTCTGTTCACGGTCCCTGCTGTCCATCTCCTGCCTCTTCTCCCCGCCTCTCGGGGCTGGACAATGCACACAGGTCCTTTTGAAAGAAGAGAAACTGTTGCTGGGTGTGGTGGTACACACCTGTAATCCCAGCACTCGGGAGGCTGAGGCAGGCAGATTGCTGTGTTCAAGGCCAGCCTGGGCTGCACAGTGAGACGCTATCTCAAAACGACAACAACAAAATGGTTACAGAGCAGCCTGAGCTCGGGCCCCGCTGGCCAGGCAGATGAGTCACTCATGTTACCAGGGATCCGGCAGACCCTCAAGCTGTCACCTGGCTCCCATCCTGGCACCCAGAGCAGCTCTCCTGTGGGAAGGGGGCAGCATCCGCAGCACTGAGGGACAAGAGGTCAGGCGCTCTGAGTCCCAGGGGCCTCGCTGACCAGGCCGTGTCCCTGGCCCGTTGCCAAAACAGACAGAATTCACGCAGCGTCTGAGGGGCAACACCCCTGGCGGGCAGGTTCGGCGCAGCTCACAGCGCTGTGCTCAGGCCCAGTCATCTCTGGGTCTAAGTCCTTTTTTTTTTTTCCTACAGCACTGGGGATTGAACCCAGGGCCTTTGCGCTTGGCTACATCCCAGCCCTTTTCTTATTCTTTATCTTTGAGCCAGGGTCTTGCTAAATCACTAAGTTCCCTAGGCTGCACTTGAATTTGGGATCTTTCTGCCTCTGCCTCCCTGAGGGCTCGGATTACAGGCACGCAACGCCCAGCCAGGCTCTGAATCCCCTATCGCTCCCAAGCTGTGAGCCGGCGGCAAGCCCCTAATCCTCCTGAGCCTGCTTTCTCATCTGTGGAAGGGGATCTTCGGGAGGACCGGCTGACACATGGCTAAAACTCAATGGCTGGGTGAAGCACGAAACATGTAAGGAGCAGTCACGGCCGCCCTGGTCACTGACCTTGCTCCCCTGACTGCCGGCCGAGGCCCCTGCTGCCCGGAAGGTGCTGACACAGAGACGCCGCCGCCGAGAGCTGGCTGTGCCGCGGTGTTCCTTGACAGGAGCCACCGGCGACAGGCGAGGGCACTGGCTTCAGGTAGCCCTGGGTTCGAGTCTGGCACAGTCACGGCACATTGCATGACTTCAACGAGCCACACATGCCCACCTGTGGGGTGGCAGCTGGTGCAGGTGGCCCGAGCCAGCGCATACGCCTGTGGGTCCTGGGGAAAGGGCAGGAAGCAGCGAGCCCATGGCGTTGAGCAGGCGAGCAGGAGACATTCGTCACCGAGTGCGGACAGGAGGAGGCCGCCCTGGTCTGCGGGGTCAGCACGCTCCTCAGACACTACGCGCAGCTCGTGGTGGGAGGGGAGAGAGGAGGGAAAGGGGAATGAGAACTCAGCACAGGCTGCGCAGGACACTGCGCCCTGGGACGCGTTGCGGGCCGCCACTCTCTGGGAGCTGGGGATACGCAGGAGAGGTGGGGTCTGGCCAAGCCCTCTGAGCCCCCCAGAAACTCAGGTCCCTTCAGTTCTGGCGGGGACATTCATTGTCTTACTCTGCTTTTGTCTTGCTGCAGTGAAATGCCTGGGGCTGTGGCCTTTATAAAGACAGAAGATAAAGAGAAAAAGACAGGAAGACAGAAAGACACACAGACAGAAAGAAAGAAAAGAGGAAGGAAGTTTTGGGGGCAGTTTTGGGGAGCTGAGAGCAGGTGCCGGCTCTGCGCAGCCCTGACGAGGGCCTTGTGACTGCATCGCAGCGTGGCAGGTGCCATCGTGACAGGAGCCTGTGACGGGGACAGATGGCGCGGTGAGACAGAAAGCCACACACAGGAAAGGGCAGGCTGGCTTGTTCCGTAACAACCCACTCCTGGGGACTAGGACTAATCTATTGCTTTCAGTATTGGGGATCAAACTCGGGCCCCTCTCATACTAAGCAAGCGCTCCACCACAACCTCAGCCCCTTTTCTTTTCTGTTTTTTTTTTTTTTGAGACAGGGTCTCATTAAATTGCCCAGGCTGGTCTTCAATTTGAGATCCTCTTGCCTCGGATCACAGGTGTGCACCACCACACCTGCCTAGTTTTTTTTTTTTTTCTTTTTGAGACAGGGTCTTTCTATGCAGTTCAGGCTGGTCTTGAGCTCACTTAGTAGCCCAGGCTGGCTTCAAACTCGCAACGATCCTCCTGCCTCAGCCTCCCGCGTGCTGGGATTACAGGTGTGCGCTACCACACCCAGCACACCTGCCTATTTTGTCTCAATTCTTTTTTTTTTTTTTAAGTCAGAGTCTCCCTATGTAGTTCAGTCTGGCCTTGAACCCACTTTGCCCAGGTGGCTTGGAACTCACGGGGACCCTCCTGCCTCGGCCTCCCAAGCACTAGACATGTGCCACTATGCCCAGCTGGTTCAAATTCTTAAAGGTCCATTGCCTGAATTTTACCACACTGGGATCAAGCTCCTGTCATGTGAGCCTTTGGTGGACAAATCACACCCAACCTGGGCTTCCAGTGTACCCTCAGCACTTGTCGTCTCAACGTGAAAAATACAAAAGGTCTGGGGATGTGGCTGTGCAGGAATGCCCTGGGTTCAATCCCAGTACTGCAAACAAGACAAATACATACAACAAACAAAAACAAAAAACAAAAATAATGGCAGGAGGAGGGGGGCGAGTTCAAGGCTAGGCTGGATGACATAGCAAAACCCGGTCTCAAAAAACAAACAAACAGAAAAAACAGGGCATGGCAGCACATGCCTATAATCTCAGCACTCTTGTGGCTGAGGCAGGAGGATCACCACAAGTTTGAGGCCAGCCTGGGGATCCGATCTCAAAAAGATCCTATCTCAAAAAAACCACACACACACACACACACACACACACACACACACACACACACACTGTCTAGAATCTTCTTATGACTCCAGATGGCCTTAATATTTAACAATCTGGGCCCTGCTGTTTCCTAGCGTATATTTAGCATTGCCAATACACTTTCTCTGTTCCAGGCCCTGGGGGATGGTGGACAGGCCTGGGGCTGGCGGGTAGGGCTGGGCTGATTCTGGGACAGAGGGCAGGGGTTGCGGAGGTCCGCAGGGTTCCGAGGCTGGCAGGCTGCCAACCGGAATCTGGCCTCCAGCTGGGGGGCCCTGGGCAAGGTACTCACGAGCTCTATGCCCACCTTTATTTGTGGACTGAGAAGTTATTGTGAGAATGAAGAGGGATTTTTGAAGCACCTGGCATGATCCCTGGCATGTTCACAGCCTCCCCAAATTTTATGTCATTAACAAAGGGGGAGAAGTGAAGCAGGAACTCAGAGACCTCCAAATCCAGACAATCCAGCTTGGGTTGATTAAGAAATGAACATTTTTCTGCTTTTTGAATATATGTATTTATCATCCTTTTTTTTTTTTTTTTTTAGACAAGTTCTCACTATGTAGCCCAGGCTGGCCTCCAACTCACAGAAATCCTCCTGCCTCAGCCTCCAGTGCTGGGATTACAGGCCTGCACCACCACGCTCAGCTAATTAAAAAAAATTTTTTTTCTTCAGTGCTTGGATAGAGCCCAAGGTCTTGCATATGATTGGGAAGCATTCTACCACTGAGCTATGTTCCAAATACCGCGCCCCGCTACACACACACATGGGGTACTGGGGACTGAATCCAGAGCCTTCTCACTGACCTACATCTCCAACACTTTTTATTTATTTTTTTAAAGACAGGGTATCATTAAGTCGATTACTTGCCCAAGCTGGGCTCCAACTTGTGATCCTCCTGCCTCAGCCTCCCAGAGTGCTGGGATTACAGCATGGAACACTAGGCCTGGCTAGACTTCTCCATTCTTAAGGCACAGCTTCCAGCACAACCCCAAGCGAGATTGCAGAGACCTAGGTCCCCAGGTTGGCCTTCCTGAGGGGTGGGCTGGGAGCTGCCGGCGCATGCAGTGCACCAGGAGGAGGGGACCCTGAACCCTTGAGAGCTCAGCCCTTCTGGGAGGTCTCGGGGACCAGAGGCCTTCAGAAAGCACCTCTGTCCTCTCTGCAGCCATAGGAGGTTACACAACGGGCTGTAATTAATATAGCCAGGGCCTGGCCCCTCGCGCTAATGAAAAATGAAGGCGGGCTGGGCCCAGGGCCTGCGCCTGCAGACCCGTGCCGAGCCGGAGCGTCCAGCAGGGGGCGCGCGGAAGCCGAGCGGGCGGGTAAGTAGCAGGGGACCCTGGGAATGTTGGGGCGCGGAGAGGCTGGGCCTCCCCCGCCCGGAGGCAGCCTCCTTGAGCCTACGATGCACTTCTGTTTATCACTCGCTTCGCACTGATTGGCCTTCCTCCTCGAGCAGGGCACACGGTGTGCACTCTGCAGCCGGACTCACTGGAGTCACCTTGTGCTTCTGCTCAGGAACCTGCGGTGGCTCCCGTGTTCTTGGTGTCACCTGGCGTCTCAGAGATACCTCATGGGTAAGAGCCTGCATGATGTGTCCCCTTCATTCCTATCTGTGTCACCTTTGGATACAGCGCGTGCTTTCCGGTGGGTCCCCTCTCGCTCTCTGGGACCCTCCGAGGGCTGCTGTTGTGAGGGTTCAGTGAGGGAACACGTGTGACCACGAACGGGGCGCACGCAGGCACTGCTCTGGAGGCCCTGGGCCCTGAACCAGACGCCACTGAGCTTGCAGCCCCAGCTTTTTGTAGTTTTCATTTTGAGCCAGGATCTTGCTAAGTTGCCCAGACTGGTCTCAAACTTTTGATCCCCCTGCCTCAGCCTCCCCGGCAGTTTAGGATTACAAGTGTGCAGCACCGTGTCCTGCTCCTAATGCACTTTGAATGGAATTAGTGATGCTTCTCACTCCTTCTTTTGTACCGGCCCCTTCTCCGGCCAAAATACTCTGCCCTTCACAGCCCAGTTCAGAGCTGTTCCTCCTGGACGCCATCCAGGATCTCTTGGGCACTTCAGAATCACCTGTGAAAGAATTAAAATTTTTTTCCTCCCCCTCCAAATGGTTCAAAACAAGTTTTCTTTTTGCAGTAAAAAGCATATAACAATATTTACCACCATAACCTTTTTTTTTTTTTTTTT